AACCATACATTTCCGTTTTATTTCTACTTTCTTAAAGTTCGATCCAAGTCAATGCGGGAACTATTTTATGGGACGGAGGGAGTATAACTTATAAACTTATATTATAAAGAAGGTTGAAAATGTCAAATTGACATCCAAGCATGGGCTACAGTTTACCTAGCCTTGTGGGCATTTGATGTTGTGTTCTTGTCTCAAACCTTGACCCAGCCAATGTAGTTGAATATACTTCCAACTAGGGTTGGGGCAATTGGTCAGCGGTTCAGCATTGTTCGATATTTTCAATTTAGTTTGTTTGGTTTGGTTTTGACAACGGTAAACTATAAGAACCGAGTTGTGTGCCATTAGTCGGCTTGATCGGTTTTGGTTGGGTTGATTTTAGTCATTTTTACCGTGTTCCGCTCAGTTTCGGTTTTACCGGTAAAATTTAAATTGTTAAATCGAATCGTCTATAATTTGGTCAATTTCGATGTTAATCTGTTTGGTTTTTTAGTTGTATATTATTCATCTTTTCTTAATCATTTTTTGTTCCACCCTAGTTCTAACACATGGAAATCTTGAGTTGACCAAGCTTTTCTTATGAACACATTACATGCACATGGAACTATGGTGGAAAATTAGTCATAAGCTTGGGTTCAAAAGAGTCTCTACTCTAATTGGCTATCCATCATACAGAAAAAGAAAAATCCGAAAGATAAGCACTAGCTACTAAGAGTATGAAGAGTATGAAAAGGAGGGGTTGATTTTTTGTACTCCCTAATAGCTAGTAGTTTAGTGCGGAAGGCTCCATTATATTAAGAATATAGTCTTTTTTGAATTCAACCTTTCACGCATATAATTAACAAAGTTGAATTGAAATTAAGCTGAGAATGGAAAGACTAATTATGAAAATGAAAGTTAATACCACCTACTTTGTAAATTGTCTTTATTTTGAAATGTTTGGTAAAAGTATTGTGCGCAGAATGATACGGAGTACAAAAGAACGTATTTTGAAGGTTTTATTTTTGTAAAGACTACCATCATTGGAGGAACAAAAAGTGAAGAATGTAAAGCTGATAGCTACCTGTGGGCTTAACTCGATTGGTAGCGACGGAGTGCCACACGGGTTAGGTCCGGGTTCGAATCTCGGGAAGAGAGGTTACTATGCTAAAAAATGCATAGGACCTCTGCAAGTATCGGGGATAAAGTCTCACTCTTTATCTGTCAGATTGGGATTATAGTCCAACTTACATTCTCCCAACATACCGTTCGATCGGGATTGGGGGGCCTCGGGATGAGGTGTCATGCTTTTTTTATAAGGGTGATAGCTTGGTTTTAAGATCTTGTAGGATACCGTTTTTCAAAAAATAGCTTCATTACCTAATAGAAACAATGATTGATATGAGACTTATAGAAACAGGTAAAATAAGAACACTGGTGAAGACAGGGACCGCACGGGCTGAAGGCCCTGGCCTTTCCAAGAATGAAATTGTGAATAAATATTTATAGCAAGTGAAAAATATGTTTAAAATTTTAAATAGAAATTGCAGGAGCAAAAATGTTCGAAATTCCAAAATAGGAGTATCATGTTTTTATTCCTTGAATATGAGTAATCTGCCAAGTTTGGAAAAAAATGTCATGTTTAATAATCTAGTAATGCCAAACTTGGCAAAAATTTACTCCTATTTAGGGAATAAAAACATGATACTCCTATTTTGGAATTTCAAAACTTTGCCTCCGCAATATAAATTTTTTATGTTTATTTTTTTAAAAAGAATACAATATCATGTGTAATTTGTTAATGGTGGTGCATGCATGTGTGTAGGGGTACAAACTGTAGATGCAGAGTTGAAGACTCATACAGTAAGAGTGAAGGGAACCATGAGCCCAGAAACCCTTGTAGAGTTCATAAGCAGAAGGGCGGGAAGGCATGCTCAGATTCTGAAAGTGAATAAACATGGCGGTGAGAGGAAAGATAACAAGAATGAAAAAGATCAAGGAGAAAGAGATAATAATAATAATAATAAGAAGAAGGAAAAGAACAGTGGGGGTTACAAAGGCTATACACCTGAACTTCTCCATGCTCCTCAACTCTTCAGTGATGAAAATCCCAATGCTTGCTCTCTCATGTAAATTTTTAATTCCATTCAAAGCAAAAAATAGTGCCCAAAATGCACCCATACTCCCAAATTGATGATTGAAGAAGATGAGCATACACAGTCAAGAAAGTCAACGCCTTAGCATAAATGAAATTATTATGCTACAAATTTTAATGGACTAGTATTGTTTTAGCTTTTTGAGAGTGAAGGATAAAGGAGGTGTTATGAGAGCGCGGGAGTGTGAAAAAATTAAAGTAAAACAATGATCCATGCATCAACATTAAGTTACTCAGGTGGATTTTTTACAAGATCTAAAATATTGGGGTAATTAGTTTAGAAAAAAAAGGGAAAGGAAAAGCAAAAATGTAGGAAATGTAAGATAAATAGTTGGTATGATCTTGTTTTTTAATGTAATGATTATTGTTAAAAGTTAAGAAAGAAGGTGCGACATGCATGTATCAATAAACTTCCACAAAATGAAAGTTTCTTGTGCTTTGGTATATCGAAAGAGTATGATTTTTATAGAATTATCAGATCCGTTTAAGTTTCTTGTGCTTTGGTATATGGTGAGATAAAAACAGATTGATAAGTGCGTATTTCAACATGCATTTGATGCGTGTTGGGATCGATTATTTTCACTTTTCCTAATCTAAATGAGTCACAAAACGTTTAATTAGCTTAAGTCACGTTTTACCGGGTTTGGTTTGCGCTTGTTTTTTGAAGCGAAAGTCAGGAATTTGAACCCGTCATCGGCGTTTGAGATTAATTTGAAAAGATTTAGGACGGTTTCGAGAGATCAACAGGACAATTAAGGAGCATTTTTAGAGTAAAAAAAAAGTCAAAGAATGAAGGCGGGATTGATCGGGATCGTACGAGGAAGAAAAGAGCAAGAAAACGGTCCAAAAAAGTTCTATGCACCCCGCACATCATGTCCGCACGCCCCGCGGACGATTTAGAGAGCATGAAGTCCAAAAGTCTGAACCGCACACCCCGCGCGCGAGTCCGCACTTCGCGTTGTTCAGAACACAGTTGCAGGAGTGTCCGCACGGTCGGACCGTGCGGGTGTCCGCACACCGTGCGGACCGGCTTACAATTTTTTATAGAAGTTTTTTTGGAGGCCAACGTTGTCGATCGCACGCCGTGCAAACGACAGCACGAACAACGCCGCGGATCGAATCTCACCCACTTTTTGCTGATTTCTATAAATTCAACCCGTTTTTACCTATTTTCATTACGAGCTTAGAGAGAGAAACCCCAGAACGATTTTTGAGAACTTTTCAAGCCTTGGATTGTTAAGTTTTTTGGATTCTTTGTAAGTTCAATCTTTTTAATTAATATCTATTAATTATTTCCTTCTCAATTCTATTGTTAATTAAATTATGAATTGTGAGTAGTTTTAATTAGAGGTTTGAGATTGATAAAGGGGTTAATCATGATCTAGGGTTTAATTCTTGAGGGATTAATTGCATGATCTTTATTTAATTTGTGTTTGAATTATTATCTCTTTAACCTAGAACTGCAGCTAGGATTATAATTGCATATACAATAATTAAAGTGATAGAAATCTAACTTATTCTAGGACACTTTCACGCACATCTAATCATTTGCTAAGAGATTGGTAACGGTTAGGGAGCCGTACACTCTTTTGCGCATTTTGGCAATAATTCAGGAATTTGTCGCATGAGAGATCAATCTGGTTTCCTAAATTATTGTACTCTACGCTGCGAGAGCGGTAAGAATTTAGTATTGACCAACGTTGCTCAATAAAATATTTTCCATGTTTCCTGATCAGCCCTGAAATGTGATTTCCTCGGAATCAATTCATGTTTCCTTTCATCATTGATTAGAAAGAACCTATTAATTTAGCTGTTTTTCCGCATTAGTTAAATTTCCAAAATCCAAATCTCGCACAATTGTATTTTTTTACTCACTGAATTTATTTAATTCTTGATTTCCTTTTCCGTCCATATTAAGACGATACTCGTATTTTAGCCTATATATATTACTACATTTTTATTAGCGCGAGAAAACTAAAATCACAATTCAAGTGCGTGGTATTATAGATCAGAATCGATGTCTTTTGCTTCCCCTTAAAAGTCTAGCTTGCCAAAACCTCGCTGTAATGAATCTAAAGACAACCAAAGAGCTTCCTTTTATTATTAAAAAAAACATCCTAAACTATTATTGCATAGGCTTTTTTTCACCCTACAACACGATTGGCTTTAAAAAGTTTTATATACCTTTCGGGGAGTTTTAACTTGGAACATGGGTATGCTCGTCCATCTAATTAAATAAAGTAAACACATAAAGTATGCAGTAAAAAATATGGACATTTAGCTAGATGGTATAAAGATTTGTAAAAAAGTAACGCCTTTATCCATGTTAAATTTCAATTCACTACAACAGCACAAACAACAAGTGCACTTTTCACAATTTTAAATTTATTGTAAAGTTTTTTTTGTAGGCATGTAATTTATCTATGATATAATTTTATTGTGTTGTGTCCAATTAAATTATGTTTCACATTGTAAATTCTTGGGCAATTGTGGGCATCTTTATAATTTTATTATGTTGTATCCAATTAAGTGCTTACCTCAACATTTTTCACTACAAAAAAATTACGGGATTGACATGGAATTTGGCACAGACTTACCGATTATTCGTGCCAAATAGCTCATGCCAAAGTGTTTTTGGCACGGATTTGGCATTTCCTTGCCAAAATCTCTGCCAAATCAATGACAAAATCCTTGTCAATTTTGTGCACTCCCTTCGTTCCTATTTTATCTTCCAAATAGGTTTGACACACAATTTAAGATATTGTGTATTGTGTGGTGGAAAGTTGTGCAGAAAAAAGAGAAATGTATAAAAAATGTTGTGAAACACAAATTCTTTATTAAAAGAAGAAAATGAAAGTTTTAACTGGAACGGAAGAAAAAGGAAAGTTGTAAATTTTAATATGAACTTTTCCACCATAATCCACCGTAAAATAGCATTGTAAGGTAAATCGGGCACAAACGGAAAGACGATGTCATTTCAGAACGTTACAATCAGTAACCAATAGCAGATTGACAAGCAATCCCCATTTGCCGATTGCTGCGCTGGCATGGCCCACCGTCATATCGCCAGGTTAAATGTACCGATTTACCCACGTGTCCTCTTCTTCCTTTTGAGTCAAATCTATCCGTTAACCCTAAAGTCGCTCACTCCCTTCCACACCTACCCTTCTCTCCTCTCTCTCTGTAACGGTTCGATTTCCATTGAAGGAGAGAAGAGGAAAGAAGGCAATCACACAACTTTTCGTTTAATTATTGTTTTTATTTTTTATTTTTTTTACCAACGACGATTATTTTGAAGATTCTTTGAATCTCCGGGAAATGGGGAAACTTATCTGTGATTCGACGGCGTCGTCGCCGGTGATTCCATGGAGGGACCCCACCTCCACCCCCTCCAACCTCGACTCCATCGATCTCGTTGACCAGATGTCGGCGGCGGCCGCCAGCGCCGTCTCCACCACGCCGTGGGAAAATGTTTCCGGGTTAGAGGACCAGCAGAGGAAGAGCCTGTCCAAGATCCAGGCCAAGGGCGTGCTTTGGAAGCACCCCAAGGACCCGAGCACGTCGGTGGTGTTCCGGTTGAGCCACGGCGGAGAGGTGCAGTCGGACGGGAACTGCCTCTTCACTGCCTCGATAAAGGCCATGGGGCTTCCCCCGGCCTCTACCCCCAGAGATCTGAGGCGCCGGGCCGTGCTTCGATTCATGGAGGATTTCGGATCGGCGAGCGTTGAGGAGAGGGGAATGATTGAGGCGGCGATTAAACACATGTACTCTCCAGATCTAAATGCCGGTTGGGGTATTCACGTTGTCCAAGAGCTCAAGCTTTTAGCCAAGAAAGAAGACCGGGAAGCTCTGGACTCAGCCATAAATGAGCTCGTTCAGCTCGGAATGCAGAGGTAAAATCCATAATCTCCCAGATCTGGTGAAATGATTTTCTTTTCCTATATCAAGATCTTCGTCTCTTTGTTCCGGAGAAATGTCAATAACTAACAGCAAAGTGCCAGCAAGACAAGACTTTCCTTGTTCATCGTTTTCAGCCCGGAATCCATGTATCTGGTTGATATTTAGATAGATCTGACAATTTTTGACGGGCATGAATAACTTTGGCCCATGAATTAGACATGTGAAATGATAGAACTTTCATCTTTGCCTGCGAATCTGGATGTTTACCCATCATCGACAATCTGAACGTTCTTGAGAATCTGCTAATCTTTGTTTCAAACCCTGAACTTTCTTGAAAATCTGCGAATCTTTGATTCAAAACATGAACTTGCTGGTATTCGATGGCTTTTATATAGATTTTTAAAGGTGTATTGATTTTGACTTGAATTTGTGATTGACATTGAAGGGAATTGGCTGCCGAGTCTATTTACAAAGAGAGATGTATAGCTGTGGATGATGGGCCAAGTTGGGCGAAGTATATGTTAATCTCTGGTTCCCCTGAAGATGAATACAATATCATCAACTTGCAATATACAGAGGAGGGATTGTTAACTGTAGACGAGAACAGATATGGTCATGCTGCGGCTTTTGGTGATGACATTGCTATCGAGTGTCTTGCTACTGAGTTTAAACGCGAGATTTTTGTGGTGAGAAAGAAATCAATTTTATTGCCTTTTCATAAGCATTACTCATCATTTCTCATTTCCATTTTATTTTTCTGTTTTGAATGATATTTTGCTTTCTTTTATAAAACCAGCAATTAAAGCAGGAAAATCAAAATGATGAAAATTGTGTAGTTAGTTTTTTCTCACACTAAATTACTTGAATATGAATATATGTAGAAATTGCACTGATTAATGGTAATGACATGTACTGCCGAACATAAATTAGAGTAAATTCAATATACAACTATACAAGACTTAAGCGCAAAGCCGCAAACATATCCTTAAATAAGGCAATCATTGTTTTTCTTGTAAATGTAGCTCATTCTCTCCTAATAGAAGATTTACTAATTTCATTCTCTTTTTAAAATCTGAATGCTTTATATTTTGCAGCTTAAGACAATAATTCTGCTATATGTGCACTTGACCTAAGCTTTACTCTCATTTGCAGCAATTTCTGCTCAAGATTTATTACACCAATTCATATCATTATTTTCATATGTTTTTAGGTTCAAGCTCACGGTTCTGATGCAATGGTTGATGAAGATAACTGTGTTTTCTTCCTCCCACACCGTCCAAGAAGTGAAATATGCGAACCTCCTTTCTTTCTTTTCATGAAAGGAACAGGTAATTCGATTTACAAGAACAGTATATTAATATATACTTCGTATTTTTGATGTCATTTGTTTAGTTGTTTTTGGCTATAAATTCATGTACTAGTCCAAAATGGGTGTCAAGGAAACTTTTGTTTAAAAAAACGACAGAACCTGTACTCAAATAATCTTCAATAATCTCACAGTTGGATCATACACAACTCTTTTGAACCAGCTTAAGTAGCTAACATGCACTAAATGTAATCTTTTTGTTTGCAGGATGGTGTGGAGCTGGAGGCGACCATTATGAACCCCTAATTGCTCACCCTTCACCATTTTCACAGGAGAAGGTTGCTCTGGTACTTTAGTTTAGAGCACAGTGTACTCAGCATCACCATTCAAAATTTTGTTTCCCTATTTCCTACGATTCTTTCCCTTAGGGTGTCACACAGAGGAGAATTACCCATTTTTGTGACAGTCGATTTTTTTTACTGTTAATGGCAAGTGTGGTAGTCAGGTAGTTATTTTGGCGGCTTTTATTGTTGTTGTTGGTATGTATCAATCATCTTTTGAGTTGTAGTGTTTGTTTTGGTACTGGCACTAGCTATACCTTCCAACTGAGTCACACACTACTCAATGTAGTTTTTTCTCTGCTTGTTGTATTACTGGACTTGGTTTAAACCATAGAAAACGATTCTGATCTTTCTCATTCCCAGTAGAATACTAGAATTGTCTTCTTTTCCTAAACTTTTGTGAGGCCTAAATTGTTGGTAGTCAGCTCAGATGAAGGATGCAAATTTGGAATAGAGGGTTCTTTATGGGGGAGCAAGCAGAAAAGATGAGGATCATCTTTCTGAAGTATGATGATAGCCCCATATACATAGTGCTCTCCAGGCTTCCCTAATGAGAATGGAGTGGTTATTAGCCTGATTAATGTTTGTTCATTCAGACCTGGCGTACAAATAAATTTGCTGTTGCATGTCTGGTTCAATAGGTTATGTACAAGTTGATGTGCAAATAGCATGGCTTATTCTTTTGATACGAGTATATTAATATTCTTATTGTATTTGGAGAAGATCAACTAGTTGGTATTGGTATAGTACAATATCATATCAATATTAATAAGACCTGAATAACTTTCTACAACATGGACATATTATATGCCTATAAAGAAGTAAAAGAACCAGATACATCTTGTTCTAACTTCCAACTGAAATAATGTGCTTTTTAATTTATTTCTTAAACAATATTTGTTTCCACAAATCAACCCTCATTATGCAAAGAAGTGTTCAGTAAATAATCATGCTAACCCTATGGATTATATGTTTATATGTAGTGAGAATTTCGTAAATAGGACTAAGGGGGTGTTTGGATCTGATTCTTAAAACTGCTTCTGCTCTTTCAGGGAGCAGAAGCAGAAGTTGGGGTGTTTGGGTGAAAGTACAGAAGTGATTCTGGTGCTCTAATTTACTCCTAGAATCAGTTTTTTTAGAAGTTGGGGGTGATCAGCTTCTGAAAACTGATTCTGATTCTGCTTCTGCTTTTAAAAAAGAAGCAGAATCAAAATTAGTTCCAAACACCCCCTAAATGAAACTTTTATTGTCAAAATATAGCTAGCTTTCCTATATATACCCTTTCTTTTGTTTAATACAATTCATATTTCATTAGTAATTAAAATATAGAGTAATAAACGTAACTTTATTTATAATAAAAAATGTAAAAATTAAAAAAAAAATAGAAAAATTAAAATTTATAAAATAAAAAACTTAAAAAATAGATAACGTAAAAGAATATTAAAAAAAAATATGTAGGCCTATGTTGCCGCCTACATTAAAAAAAATGTCAACATGTGTTAGAAATGTCATCTTGATGGCAGTTTTCGGAAAAAAAAAATTGGCATTTTCAAGAGTAAAAATGTTATCTTCATGGCATTTTTAAAGAAAAATGATAGTTTTTACACAAAATGGTATTTTTGTAGCCGATCGGAGATAAAGTTGCTAGGCAGTAGCCGAGACTATGTGAAAGGCCTCCATATTTTTTATATTATTAAAGTGTTTTATCTATTTTTTATTTATTTTTAATGCTTTTAATTTTTAATTTCTTTTATGATTTTTTGTATTTTACAAAAACATTTTAGAATTTTTTCATATTTTTTTACGATTTTTTTGTATAAGTTAAAGTATTTTTTATAATTTTAGTACTTATTACAAATTAAATTATGATTATTAAGTTGTGGTAAGGTTAGAATAAGAAGATAGAGTATATTTTAGTCCTATTTGGAGAAAATAAATAACATAGTCTAATTTGTGCATTTATGGATTAATTTAGTCCTATTTAGGGCTATTATATCTTATACTCCCTCCGTCCTGCAATGAACTTCCCACTTTTCTGTTTTGGATGTCCGAGAAACAAGTTCTTATTTCCTTAAATTGCAAGTTAATCTACATCAAAACAGTGCCAAACAGTGCAAAATAGTGCCAAACAGTGTCAAAACAGTGTCAAACAGTGTCGAAACAGTGTCAAAACAGTAAAATTTATTCCATGTTAAGTTTATTGCCTTAATATGTGTGTAAGTCAAACTATGAAGTTGATTGTGGGATGGAGTTAGTATGTATTAACAATACGACATCTATCATTGTAAAGTACGGAGTAATAACTAATAAGGAGTTATTTTTTTGTCCTCCTCTTATTATTATAAGCCAATTGGCAAATGATATTTTAGATTAATATCAATTGCTATTTATGATATAAAAAAAATAAGACATCTATCACATCAAACTTTTACAAAATCTTTAATACGGTGTTTTCATTAGATTAGAAAAGTTCACACCTTTAATTGATATAAAAAATTCTAAATAAAGTAGTGTTGAGCTATAAAAATTAAAAAATATTTGGGTCCCTAAAGGTTAAAATTTCCTAAATATATTAACTTAAACAGGTTTATCCTAGTATTCTTGATTTCAATATCATATCAAAAATTCTAAATAAAGTAATGTTGAGCTATAAAAATTAAAAAAATATTTGGATCGCTAAAGTATAAAATTTCCTAAATATATTAACTTAAATATATTTATCCTGGTATTCTTGATCTCAATATCCGAAACCTCCCACACTTGTTTCAAAGCATGCTTATGAAAGCTCGTTAGGTATAGCGTATTATAAAATGAACCTAATCTAGTACTCGTTATTTTATTTGGCACCATTATATATTGGCTCGATACTGATTATGTTTGAATTTTATGCACACATAAAAACATAAAGATATGAAACATTCCCATTTCATTTTGAAAAACTCAAAGCAGTCAATAAATATTTTATTCACTGCGAGAGTTTAATTTGGAGAACACATATACAAGACTATTAAGTTACATTTTATCTCAAAATGGTCTCTTATTTTGTTGGGATACACATCAGGTTATGATAAAAAGTGGTTTATTTGTAGAATTATTATTGTTTATTGATCAAAGTTTCATGACAATCCTTTTTAGCTTCTCATATCTTGAATTCGATCAATGCAGGTACTCAACATATGAAATATCCGCTCACATCACACACAAGTATGTGTGTATGTATACGTACGTATATATGTAGAAAATGTGAAATTAAACTCATTTAAAAAACGATAACTAATCACAGTCATTAGTAAAATGAGTAGGAAACGCTGATTTGGTCATTTTTTGATAATTGATGGACTTAATTGACTCGGAAAAAAGTACATGAACTCAATTGACTGATCACAGTCAGCCTCGTCAGTATGACTCCAAAGGACGAATCCAGCAGGATTTAAATCACCTTTCAGGCTGCTCCTCCCATCACACGAACCCGCTACCTTCATTACCATCCTCTCCATTCTCAGCCGCTGAGCAACTCCGTAAAGGTAGGAAGAATCATTGGGAGCAAGACCTCCCTCCTCTCCCCTAAATGTGTCTAGCAGGATTCGAACCTGAGACCTCCGCTAGGACACGGTAACCTTCCACCCAGTGAGCTGGAATGGTTGGTTAGTTTTTCTATTATCAAAAATATGATTGGTGGATAAAAATATGATTTCATAATTTTAAGTGATTACAGTTACGTTCAAATATCACATCCTAGTAACTATAAAACATGCATGTTCATGTTTAGTTCAACCACACTATTATGCATGAGTATTATTTTAGGAAATAATTACATAAATATGACCAAAATAAAGATGATTTACAAAAATATGACTAATGACTAGAGTAGTAATGAAACCATAGTAATTCATTTTCAAGTTTTGAGCTTAAGTTACTACAACACCACATTGTAGTAATGTATAATCATTTTTACGTAAATTTGACTTATTTTAGTAATATTCTTATAAAAAATCCTTATTTTAGTCGCATTTTAGAAAAAATTTAATTGTATTGTCTTACCAAAAATAATATTCGTCTCATTCTCCCTTCTTATTTCTTAAATACTTGATCCATTATATAAAGATGTACCTAGTACCTACTACCAACAATGGTTGGTGTGCGTGTATCTTTTAACTTGAGTAGAGATAGATGAGCTTTATTATATGTCAATTATGTATGATGAGTCCACGTTTATTGTATCGGTTGGAAAATGTGTTAATAAATTACATTAAATGATCATTTTGGGGTAATTTTTTTAGTGGGGTTCAGTTCTGATTTGGGCCGAGTCAAAGTGCATTCGGACTGTCCTTGCTAAGGGCTACAATTCGATATGTGGTACACTCAAAACAGATAACGGGTGAATGAGAAATTGAGTCTCGAAGTTCACTAGTTGAAATGGAGAAAACTAAGAAAATGATGAGTTTCTAATGTGTTTTATCCCAGACTGGAAAACCCAAGGGATTTTCATCCCCTTATAAAGGGAACCCCATTTGAAGGAGTTAAAATTCTTTGGTGGAAAGGCTCTCTTCGCGCGCAAGGGGGGTGCCGATCAAGTTTCGAAAATCTATCTTCTAAACATAAAAATAAATTTTTGCTTCTTCCTGTAACGTCTTTCCTAATTTTTCTCAAACTACTGCTCGCCCTCGTTGGAGCAGCCCACTGCCCGCAGCTGCCTGCCGAGGTTGCTGCCCTCAGCCACCTGCTGAGTCTGCTGCTACCCTTACAAGTCCATAAATGTCCAACGTTCTTGCAATTGAATGGACAGTTACGGACAAATCAATGCCAACAATTGGTTTGCAACAACACGTTCACAAATGAACTCACGCAATCTTTAGCTCTAAAAAACACCTCCAGCATTCCTGAAAAAATTCTTCGTGTTCTGCCTTTGTTCACGTTTGCCGAAACAATTCGTTTGAATGTTCAAACAATTGCTCGTAGTTATCGTATCCTGGGAAACGAACGTTGCAATGCTCCTATCACCCCGGGAGGCAACAAATACGTTTTAAGGACATCATGCGTTGCACGAGCTTTGGCTAAATTCTTCTTCTTTCTGTTTTCTTTAATCATTTTTGTTAAAATTTTCATTAATTATTTTCTTTATTTTTCAAAACACACCCAAGGTTCCAACCCAACGATATCAACCTGAATAATCACTTTAAAATAATGCTGCGTAGTAATGAGAAAAATGTGATAGATATACCTAGAGCTAGTTGGTATCCAGAACCATCCGGTCAGTAAAATAACAAAACTAAATATATACGGGTGAGGTTTTTAACGATTTATAAGGTTGGAATCATTTGCTACAAGTTCGTTTCAAAATGATACAAAATGACAAGTTCACATGAAATGCTTATAATAATTGAAAGAAAGAACATACTCCCTCCGTCCCAATTTGATTTGCAAAATTTCCTATTTTGGATGTCCCAAAATGGTTTTCTACTTTCTTTTTTAGGTATATGAATAAGAATTAAGTGATAAATTTGCCCCTACTTTTACTTTTTTTCATTAACTTAAAGGCATCTACTTTTAGGAAGATGGACAAAAGTGTAAAAAGCAAGTATCATTTATTACCATTCCTTAATCCTTGTGCCAGTCAAAGTTTGCCATTCAATTCGGGACGGAGGGAGTATTAAATTCTAGGAAAGATTCAAACGGCTTACATTTTTGTCTCTAAATTTTGAAAATACATAAAGAGTGTAATATAATTAAGAAAAATAAAGTAGAATAATGATACACTGGATAGACATCGTCTTCACTAAATTCAAA